CCGATCCTCCAATATAGACTTTTAATAAGTATGTTGCGGCGTGCAACCCGATCCTCCAATATATTCACTATAATCAATCATGTTACGGCATGCAACCCGCTCCTCCAACATAATCATTTACCAATTCTTATAGAAGAAATTTTCCCAATAAATGTAACAATTAATATAAAATTATAAGACAACAAGCATACAATAATTATGGTTTAATTATGAAGCAAACAATGACAAATAGCAAATTATTATGAAAATCAGGGAGCAAATAGGGAGTTTAATATTTAATATGATAAATGTCAAATAACAATTAAGGCGAATAATTCAAATAGCATGTAACAATTAATGCAGGAATTCAAGAATTAATATTTGACAAAGAATAAGAGAGAAATAATTATTATAATAATTAATTTATGATTAAAAATAATTTATGATTTTTTTCAAGTAAGCAGGCAAACAATTAATTTGACGACGTATAGACACTCGTCAGCTCGCCTATATGTCGTTCACATGCAATTCACATAACAAATAATTTAAGAGTTCTATTCCCTCAGGTCAAGGTTAACCACGACACTTACCTCGCTTTGCAAATTCCAATCAATTATTCAACCACAACTTTTCCTTTTAAATTTGCCTCCGAAAGCTTCAAATCTTTTCACAAACAATTCGATATATTCAATAAGAATCATAGGAATTAATTCCATATGAATTTATAAATTTTCCGGATAAAAATTCAAAATTCATTAAAATATTTGGCAGTGGGACCCACATCTCAAATCTCAGAAAAACTTACGAAATCCGAACGCTCATTCCGAGACGAGTCCAACCATACAAAAATTATCCAATTCCGATGTCAAATGGATCTTCAAATCTTAAATTTTCGTTTTTGGAAGATTTTATAAAAATCTGATTTTTCTTCCATAAATTCACAGATTCATGATATAAATGAGTATGAAATCATGAAATATAATCAATATAGGATAAGGAACACTTACCCCAATATTTTTCCGTAAAAATCGCCCAAAATTCGCCTTACCCGAGCTCAAAACTGGGAAGGAGTTGAAAATAGGTCGAAACCCCATTTCCAGAACTTAAGTTCTGTTTCTGGGATTTTTACTCTTCGCGAACGCGGTTAGTGCCTCGCGTTCGCGAAGCACAAATTTGTGCTGTCCAATTTTACTCTTCGCGAACGTGAGGGCTACCTCACGAACGCGATGCTTGCCTGGCTTGGTCTTCGCGAACGCGAAGGGTAATTTTTCCTGGTCAGCCTCTTTCCCTTCGCGAACGCGGGGATTCGGTCACGAACGTGAAGCTTTGCACCGCGACCCTTTGCGAACGCGTTCCCTTAGTCGCGAACGCGAAGCACAAAAAGTACCAGTCCAAATTTCCTCTTCGCGAACGCGAAGAAGGAAACCATAAGCAGATTTCTGTAGTTTTCTTAAGTCCAACAATGATTTGTTAACCACCCGAAATCAACCTGAGTCATCGGGGCTCCAAACCAAACATGCACCCAAGTCCTAAAATATCATACGAACTTGCTCGCGCGATCAAATCGCCAAAATAACACCAAGAACTACGAATCGGACACCAAATCAAAGAAAATTTTCAAGAAAATTTTAAAACTTATATTTTTACAACCGGGCGTCTGAATCACGTCAAATCAACTACGATTATCACCAAATTTGACAGACAAGTCATAAATATTATAGTGGACCTATACCGGGCTTCGAAACCAAAATACGGACCCGAGGTCAATAAATCCAACATTAGTAATTTCTTTGAAATCATTAAGCTTTCAAGCTTTTAATTTTTCATCAAAATTCCATATCTCGGGCTAGGGACCTCGGAATTCGATTCCGGGCATACGCCCAAGTCCCAAATCACGATACGGACCTATCGGAATTGTCAAAATACTTATCTGGGTCCGTTTGCTCAAAATGTTGACCAAAGTCAACTTATTTGAGTTTTAAAGCTCTATTTCACATTTTAATCTATTTTTCACATAAAAACTTTCCGGAAAATTGTACAGACTGCGCACGCAAGTCGAGGAATGATAAACGGTGCTTTTCGAGGTCTTAGAATACATAATTACTTATTAAATTTAAAGATGGCATTTTGGGTCATCACAAGCTTGATGAATCAGTTGATAATGGTGGTTGTATTCGTGGGGAATATACTGGGTTGGGAGAGAGATAGTGGAGAGAGAGCGTGGGTTTAATAAAATTGTATACAATACGGTGTTATTAGGAGAGAGAGAATAGAAAGTATGAGAGAGAAAAATATTTCACAGTGTATTTAATGGCTTAACGGTAGGAAGTGACCATAAATACATAATTTGCTATAAAACCTAAAAAGTAGTTATAGAATATAATTTTATAAAAAGGTATTTATTTATAATAAATAAGGTGTAAAGGTTTGCTATAGGAGGTAAAAATTCCAACAAAAAATAGTAGTCATTTACTCTTAAAGCCAAAATATGTGTACTTCCGGACCATAGTGCAAGCGAAGGGCGAAGTGCACAAACAACCATTCCTAAGGATGCTATATAGGAATTAGTCTGTATTTGTTTTGTCCCGAAAGTTTAAACTAAAAATCTTAATTTCATGACAATTCAGGACAATAGTTTCTCAAAAATTTAAACTGAAAAAGTGAAAAATTGAAATTAAGGATGAATTAGCTAATTCCTAAAGAACACCCTTTGGAGTGACTACTTGATGTCATTTCTACCAAAAGCAAGAGGGAAGCTCCCAGCTCAACATATAGAAGAATTAACCCAAATAGTCGCTCACCCTACCACTTAAACTATAAATAGCCGTGAATAATATATACATAATTTATATATTATATGTATATAATTAATATATAATATATGTATATGACTAGAAAAGGTAAATATTTAATATGACCGGCTATTTGTGTAAAAGTCCCCAACATATAACGTTTGGGTCAAACACTTAAGGTTCCATTTGGGTTGTTTTTCTTGGGCCAAAGGCTGAGTGAGAGATGTGTATTATTGTTGAAAGGGCTGTTGGAATATGATACTAGTGAGTAGTGATGTCTCTCGTTTGTTTCAATAGCATCTGCTTGATCCAAATTTAATCCCATTCCTTGAAAGGAAACTTTGGCGTAATTGGTAAAGTTGATATCACCTGGTCACGGGTTCGAGCTGTGAAAACAGTCTTTTGCAGAAATAGAGGGTAAGATTGCGTACAATAAACTTTTGTGATCCGGCCCTTCCTAGGCTCTGCGCATAACGGGAGCCTAGTGCACCAGGCTACCCTTTAATCCTATTCCTTGATAGAATAGAATAACAAAAAGGAACCCCGAGACATTAACCTCCACCCAGAAGAAAAATGAAATGTAATAGAAAAAACAATCAATAAGCCTACTTTAATTCTCTTTATTAGTTCATTTTTTTCCCTGTTCTATTCTCTCAATTGAAACTTGGGAAATGGTAAAAGCAACAATAATAGGCTAAATTATTGGATAGTTAAAGAGGAGGAGATTTCTTAGGTCCTTTCTCTACCTCAGAAAGAAAGTAAAAAAACCAAAACATTGATCAGTTCAAGTAGAACAACAAATGAATTATATGCTGCTAGGATTAAGATCTTTTGTCTACATATTTTCTTAGGAGCGGTGCACAAAATATCTTGCATTCACGCAGGGTCCTGGAATGAGCTGCACCCCAAGGACATAATATAGATAACGTACCCCAATTCAAGCATTAGTGCATTAGTGATTGCTTCCATAGCTTGAACCTACACGGAGTTGCTCCAAAGCTCCCCTTCTATTTCCTAAAACAATCTTGAATATTAGCTGAGTTCACCATCAAACAACCCAAAAAAAAAAAAACATATGGGGCAAACTG